AGATAGATAGATAGATAGATAGATAGATAGATAGATAGATAGATAGATAGATAGATAGATAGATAGATAGATAGGTAGATAGATAGATAGATAGATAGGGAAAGAAAGATAGAAAGATAGATCTAACAACTACATAACATTATTTCAATAATAATTAATTGATACTTTGTTTAATTATGTTTCTGTGGTGTGAGTGAGTAAGTTTGTTAATAGTATTCGTGTTTATATATTAATATAATACTCTATCAAAATATTCGATTAATAATTTATAATATAAAGCAATTGGACAAATTCGAGCAATACTATAAAATCTATATCTACTTGTTACAATAATTAAATAATCAAAAACAATCTAAACAGGGATTCAATTTCACTACTCTACTTTCCATTTAATGTTTTAACAAAATAAACATAAATATCTAATTAAATAGTTATATTTATTTAATTATCTATCAATATACGTACCAAAAAAATAAAAATAAAACGGAAAACTAAAACAAACGAACAGTGAGTTAAGCCGAACGACAGGATCTAATTTTTCTAATACTATTTCAAATATTTAACCAGTTAACTGTGATTGACGAGTATATTCGTCATGGCTCGATCCTAGCGACACAAAATGGTGCGCGCTCTCAAACGAGAACACCACAGTTAATTGGTTAAAAGCTCTAAACGGGTAACTAATGCTTCCCGATAACTATTAGCATTATTTCTAATCCTAAAGGACAATAACGAAAAATTGAATACAAAACAAAAACAAAATCAAAATATTCAAATTAAATATCTAATTTTCGATCTAAGATCGATCTCATCTAACTTTGATAATAATAAAAATAGAAAAAGATTATTAGGTGATAAAAATAAAATATTGTTTTTAATATTTTTAGGTTATTTACTCGAGGCAAAAGGCGAGAGCTCTATTTGTTCTTTTTTTTTTTTTCGATGACTAATTCTTGCTCGACATTTTTTATAATTTTTTTTTTTTTTTTTTGAATCTAAAAGGATTTAATTTACTAATAGGTCTTTTACTTACACACACCTATGTCATATCGTAGGGGGGGCCAAAGGACCGATTCACGTGGGCACACACACACATTATGCGTACTCACGTGATTTCGACACGATCACTATGAAAATGATCACTCGTCTCGATTTTATACATTATTTATAATAATTACATATATTTAAATTGTACGCGGTTTTGTTTGTTTTTAATTGATATTTAAAATTGTTAAAGGATATTTGTTGATTTAATATAAAAATTCGTCGATTTTATGAATTTGTATAAAATTGAGACCATATCATAGACTATAGTTGATTATTCTAAGTATATATGTGTATTTATATATATGTGATACATATTTATAATATATATACATATATATATGTATAGTTTTAAAAAAAGTAAACGTGCTATTAAGAAAAGGATCTCTCTGAAAGGAAATACTAAATATCTAAGTTTCTATTATAGACTAATCTTAAAGAAGATGCTATAGTAAGGATTATCGTCTAATACAATAAGTGCCTAAGAAAGAGAAGAAAGATCGACTTGTGTGATAAGTGTATTTTGACAAAAGCACAACCGTTGTTGTATATATCTCTTTTTTTTTTTATTTTAAAACAATGATTTAATGAATAAACAAAAATACAGACAAAAAATTAAATTATTACACATATGTATATGGTACATTTCACATCAAATCGATTAATTGTGACCTCAACACCTTTTTTGATTTTGTTGAAACTTTTTTTATCATTTTTAACTTCGTTAAACAATTTTTTGAGAATTTTTTCAGATTTTTTTTGACCAACCCAAAAAAAGGTAGAAATTTTTGAAAAATTCTAAATTTTCGTTCAATTGTTTTTTTTTTAAATTAGCCAAAACTTTGTCAAAAATAAACTTATTTGGACGTTTTATTTTTTTTAATTTTTTGTTATTAAATGCATTTTTTGAAAAAAAAATATTAAAAAAATATTTGAAGTTAATCCTTTGACTGCGACGTGCTCTCGAATCAATCCATTAATATGAACGGAGCGATTTTCGTATGTCAGTTTTCGCATATCAGTCGCATCGACTGTTTTTCCATTGACTACTGACCAAAACAGATAATAATGGCAAATAAAATAAAAATATGAATTTTTTTTTAATTTTTTAAAAGTAATTTTTTAAGCTATTTTAATTTACTGTATTTATTTTGTGCATTTACTTCAATAATAATCGATAATTTAAATATAAAAGAAAAAAAATAACAAAATTTCTAATGTAACACAGAGTATAATAATTTTAACAGGATATTTGAATAATTTTAACCTAATTATACAAATAATAAAACGACAATGAACGAGTAAAGATAATAAAATTCAAATAGGCGAATTTCAAATATAAAAGCAATTAACTATAACGATATTGAAATAATTGCCAATATTTAGTTGCTATGTTACATATCACAATAAATTCCATGTTAAATTAATCGGTAATACAGCAATAAAGGTGTTATTGTAAAAAAATACAGAGGGCGTATATTTACGCCTTTCGTGTATATTGATGGATTTGTGAGAGCATATGTATACGCCTTTAGCAGTCAAATGGTTAAATTCTATAAGAAATTTCGGTTTTTAAAACAAACAACTGTTGAAACTCAGCAATTGCATAGCGTTATTATTAAAAAATGATAAGTGTTTTTTAAAATTGGTCTTCTAAATAATTGGCAGCTGTATTGCAGTTATCAATTGGAAAAAACTTCACCGTTATGCTTACAGAGGATGTTTATTTGTAAGATATTATTCTAATTCTGAAAAATATACAATTAGTATTTTTTTTTTCAAGCAACCAAGAAAATCTAAATAAATTGTTAATTATATTTATTTGAAAATTTGATCAATATATGCACTGCAATCTTTTTGCATTTATAATTTTTGATAGTGTATAATTAAACTAAGGTCATTAAATACATTTAAAAATATTTATATTTATTTAATTAAGTTTATTTTAGTATAAAAATAAAATATAAAAAAAATTTGGCCCATCTGGAGCAGGTATGGCTTAGGTTAGGAATGAACGAAAGTTTAAAAGGAAAAAAAAAGGATTAAAAATACCAAAATTTGATAAATTTACGGTTTTTTCTAAACAAAAAACGAAATTTCTTATAAAATTTACTTTTAAATATTTTTTTAATAATTTTTTCAAAAAATGCATATAATAAAAAAAATTTTTTTAAATAAAACGTCCAAATAAGTCTATTTTTGACAAAGCTTTGGCTAATTTAAAAAAACAATTGAAAGAAAATTTGTAATTTTTCAAAAATTTCTACCTTTTTTTGGGTTTGTCAAAAAAATCTGAAAAAATTCTTAAAAAGTTTTTGAATAATGTTAAAACTGAGAAAAAAGTCACAACCAAATTGAAAAAGGTTTTGGGTCAAAATTGGTCGATTTGACGTGAAATGTATCATATATAAATTAAAAATAAAAATGTATCTTTTGTTAGAAAAAAAACATAATCCTTCAAGTTTGATTTAAACAATGATTTAAACAATATCAACGACAGTTGTGCCGTTTCATTTGATTGGCGTGAAATTGTGACTGTCTACTATCAAATAAAAGAATAAAATAAAAAAAACGTAAATGCATACAAAACTTGTATGGGTTTAAACGTAAAACGTGTTCATGTGTTTTAATATTGATTTGAGTGTGATAGAAGTATATATATATATATTTATATATATATAAAGACAGAAAGAAAGAAAGAAAGAAAAGAAAAGAAAGAAATAAATAAAGAAATGTACATAAGTGCAATTTCAAAGACACAATGGCGTATTCATAATTAATTAATTAATTAATTAATTAATTGTAATTTAAATATTTACATTGTCTTTTATTACGTGTGTAAAAATTCATTCGGTGCCATAAATAAATACAAATATAATTTGTTTTACAAAAAGCCATCGAATTCATTTTTACACTCGATAAAAAAATCGCTTATGTGTCTTTGCGTCATATTAACCCTTAGAGTACTATAGACGCATATATGCGTTTCGTAAAAATTACCAGAGTGATTTTAATGATTGCATATTCGGGTTTATTAATATTAATGTAAAATAATGTAATATTTATATTAATTAATTCAATTATATTCAAAAATAAAAACTGTAATTATTAAATATAATTTATTATTAGAATTTAGTTAATAACAAATTATTCCATTCCTACAAAACATTTTAGTTCAAAGTTCATTTTATTCAACACTCAAAGGGTTAATAAAAAGAGGATAAAGAATGTTATGACAATTTTATATATATATATATTTTTTTTTTTTGTATAAACAAAATATGCATTGTTGTAAAAGACTAGTTTTTTATTTATTAAAAAAATTCTTTGTGCAAAGTTAAGTAAATGAACACGTTGAGCGTCACGCAAATTCTTAAGGAAATTTCCGTTAGGCCACAGCGTTACTTTGTATTGAAACAAATAGTTGAAGTGTCAGTCACAAATGACTGACGCGGCCTAAATGGAAAGTTAAGTGTCAGTCACCGATGACTGACGCGGCCTAAACGTGAAGTCTAGTGTCAGGCATAAATGACTGACCCGGCCCAAATGGAAAGTTTAGTGTCAGTCATAAATGACTGACGTGGCGCTTAACATGTTAAACAAGTGTTTTACATTATGCATTGAAATATATATGAAATATATATATACATACAAATGTGTATAATATAGTTAAAAGGAAAAAGAAATGAATAAATGAGAATTAAAGAAAAAATAAAAGGAATATGTTATAAAGATGATAATAAGTAAGAGAAAAAGTAAGTACTACCGCCTGGGCTGCAGGACTTTGCCCAGCATTATCGTTATCGATAAGATCGTTATCGTTCTGGAAAATAAAGAAAAAAGACACAAAGAGATGATTGAGAGCTGCGTGAACATCCTCTTGTCTTCGTAGTATTATTATTTTTTTTAAATAATATTTTTCCTTTTTTATTTTTTATTTTTTTTTTGTAAATCACTTCTATAAGCCTACGATAATAATAATAATAATAATAAAAAAAAAATGAAATTTGTTTTTCATATTTTTTGTCCATTAGTTAAAAAATATAATGAACTTTCAAACCTCGTGTTGGTTGAATTTCTTCTAAAAATATATCATTAAGAAGACAACAAATATATTACAAATATATATCAAATTTAAAATGCATCAAAATTAGTTTGTTTGTTTGTTTGTTTTTTTTTTTTTGGTTCTAACTTTTAACTAATCTTAAATCATTCAAAACTCCACAGTTTCTTAAACTATCTATTTAAACATTAATTAGAATTCTCGAATTGATCCATTCGTCATATATTTTTTTTTTTTTTATAAATTATTAATTGAATTATTTAAAGATAAATTATTATTTAAATTTTAAATTAAATAATATTAATTTTTATTTTTAATATTAATTCATAAATATAATTTATTATTTAATTAACATTTTATTAATTTTAATAATTTAAATATTTTAATATTTTAATTTTTAGTATTATAAAAAAATTATTAATTAATTATTTACTTATAAATTATTAATTAAATACAAATTATTTATAAAAATTATGAATTAAATTTTAAATTAAATACTATTTAAAAATATGTAAAATATTATTATTAAATTAATATATAATAATATTAATTTAACACAATATAATTTATTATTTAATTCAAATATTAAATAATTACACACATAAAATAAAAGTATATTTTATACAATTTTTATATATATATGTATTTATATTTATTATTTTATAAAATTATAAAAAATAATTAAATAATAAATTATTAATTAAATACAATTATTTTTAAGATTTCTTTCTATACTGCAATCAACGTGTTATTAAATCGTTGATCATTTATTTTTCATAGATCAACATTATTGTATTCCAATGATATAACAAATGAATCAACTCGAAATAATCTCTCTACTATATATATATATTAAATTTCTAAAATTATATATCGTTCAGGAAGGGTCACACATCGAACTGTTTCTACGGATATCGACTTGGCTAATTCGAAGTTTAAAGGTAGACAATTTGTAACAACGTTTTATTTAATTCAAATCGAACCAATTTCAAAACTCAATGAAATTAATCGATAATGTTTGCCGTCCCAATAAAGAAATCCACAGATCGATTATAATCGTTCGATAAAAATCGAGATTTATTCAATGGGATGGAAAATTGAAATGGAACGTTTCAAAAAATATTTTCGTTTCCTATTTCAGTTACATATGAATCTTTGAAAATTCTCAGCACTACTCAGCACACAGATGTATAGGTAAGTAATATATATATATAGATATATAAGGTTATTAAAAAAAAATAAGGATTATTTTTAGGAATAATAATAATCGTTTAGGATCGCCCGTAGTTCGAGATTTTGGTCATTTGTTTTTGTCCAAATTATTTCTTAACAGGTTGAATGCCAAGGGGGTCACCGGTGACCGCCACTTAACTTGGCTGTGACGCCATAGAGGCCACCGGTGACCGTCGTGCCGAGATTAATAGAAATATATTCCACATCGTGGCCCCACGGATAATTTCGGTAAAATTGGTATTACATTCAACCTGTTAAGATAAGAAAATTAGGAATTCGAATTTCGAGCGTTCCTAATTAAAGGGAAATGGTTGACTATCGAGCTACTTTGGATGATCAAGTGGAAAATCGCTATTTGAAAAAAAATAAATAAATAAACCGGTTTGATTCTAACCGGTCGTGTAAAAATTCCTACCACGAAAAAGCCAACGACAAAAACATCTATTTTTAAGTGATTAACCTCAACGAATCTTCCATCTTCCATTTGTATAATTCATTCGATCGAATCTGTTTTATCCTTTGAGCAAATTTAAGGATTGTTTTAAGAATTTGAACGAAAGATTTTGAAGATTAATGGAAATGGAAGAACCTCGAGGATCTTTCAAATGAGATTTAGATTTATTTGTCTTACACGTTTAGTAAGATAAACGCGTTCGATGGAAGACTCACCTGTCCGGATGGTTTTTCTCGACCAAACTTCGTCGTCTTCCAATTTTCAATTATCATGAGAGCGACGTATATCTTACCGACGGTGAGCTTTCCTCTGCCTACCTCTAAATTAACAAAACAATATTATCACATATAGGACAAATGTTTTTCTATTGGGTTGGCAACTAAGTGATTGCGGATTTGAAATTTTTGCTTAAAAATATAAGTCTATTCAATTAGGTATTGTCCATTTTTGTTGATGACCTTTTGCCATTGGTCAGGCAGTGTCATAATGCCACGTTAATAAAATTTCTTATCTTTGCTATCAAAAAACTGAATTAGGTGTAATTTGACATAACTAGTGTTATTAAAAATTTGACCATTTACGGAGTTCTGTATGCAACGAAATAAATGGTAATCTGAAGATGCAAGGTCAGAGCTATATGGTGGATTTGACAACACATCCCAACCCATATCCAAAAATTTTTGACAAGTGACCAAAGATGTGTGAGGCTTTGCATTATCATGGTGGAAAACAACACCTTTACGATTTGTCACTTCTGTCCACTTTGCTTGAATTGCAACGCTCAGTTTGGTGAGTTGTTGAACGTACAGGCTCGAATCGATCGTCTGGTTTTTTGGTAAAAGTTCAAAGTGCAGAATTCCTTTATAATCCTACCAGACTTGCCACTTTTGGCCGCTTCTGCTTGAATTGCAACGCTCAGTTTGGTGAGTTGTTGAACGTACAGGCTCGAATCGATCGTTTGGTTTTTTGGTAAAAGTTCAAAGTGTAGAATTCCTTTATAATCCCACCAGACTGACAACATAATCTTTTGTTGGTGAATCTCTGTTTTTGATGTCGTCTAGGCTGGTTCATCTTACATCACCCACGATCTCTTCCGATTGACGTTGTTCTAAACTATCCACTTTTCGTCGCCAGTAATTAGTCTTTTCAAAAAAAGATCAATTTTGTTGCAGATGCTAATGCGTTGGGTTAAATGAACTTCCTTTGGCTGTTAGGCCAGCTTAGCTGGTGAGGGACCCATAGATTGAGTTTCTTGACAAAACCAAGATTTTTGAAACTTATTTCAATGTATGTATGCGATGCATTGAGCTTCTCTGCAATATCACGTGTTGTGCTATAACGATCTGAATCGATAATGGCCTTGATATAGGTCTCATCGACTTCAAATGGGCGGTCAGATCGTTGAAATCGTTTTTCAATGAGAAATCACCAGAACAAAATCTGGCAAATCAATTCTGACACTGCCTTTCGGAAGAAACGGCTAGAATTGGCCAACAGGAGAGGTGTTGTGTTCCATCAGAATAACGCCAGATCACACATGTTTATAGTATACTCCTCAGAAGCTTCAGGAGTTTGGTTGGGAAGTTTTGATGCATCCATTATATAATCCAAACCTTGCATTAAGCGATTACCATCTTTCTTGCACTGCAAAACTTTCTTAGTGATAAGAAATTGGCATTAAAAGAAGATTGTAAAGAGTTTTTCGCAAATAGGGACCAAGACTTTGATGAGACAGGCATTATGAAGCTACCTTTAACCCTTAACGCTCCTAATGTGCCTTCCAGGCACCATCAACGAGCAGCGTTTTACTCCAAGTATGCCTCCTAGGCATCACCAATGTACGGCCCTTTATTCCAATTGTGGAACAAGTTGGAGTATCGGTAGATAACCACAATTAAACGTCGGAGCGTTAAAGGTTAAAATGATAACAAATTAATGAACAAAACTGTACATATTTGACTAAAATCAGACAACTCGAAATATGTTAAGTAAAGGCTTGAAGTTAACGTAAAAATAATGAATGACTTTAACCCCAATTTAATATTAGGTTATATAAATAATTTACCTTCGTCTCTAGGTATCAAAAGGTCCAACATCTTTTTCGCTTGCAGAGGCCAAATACTTCGAATCGTATCTCGAAGCTCCTCGTTCGCTTGTCTCATTTCGTTCGCTGTAAACAATTCGAAAAGATAAACGGATTAAATTATTAGGTTAGGTTGAAAATCTTTGATAATTGCATTAACGTATACAATGTTTCTAACTTAATGCAATTGAAACAAAATGGTAGAACTAACCGCATCTCATTTTAATACTAAGATCCTCCCGTATCAGTGCGAAAAGTGTAGTGGTAAAGTTGACCTTCCCATCTGAATCAACGGGCATGTTCATTCTGATGAGTTTTTTATATGCTAGCCTGTTGGGACACTTTTGACCAAACCCCAACGGTGGATCCATAACCTTGAGCATGTCGTAGACCTCGTTGTAAAGTACCTTACCGGTGGCCTTGGGATCATATTCTGCCCATATTCTAACAAATTCGTCTAGATGATGTGCACCAAGAATCGATGAGTCTCTCGTTAAATAATCAAAGTTGTCCATGATGACGGCGACGAAAAGATTCAGCATTAAAAATGAGCAGAAAAAGATGAACGAGACGAAGTAGGCATAAGCGATGTTAGAACCGCAACCACCTGGTTCCTGTTTTCCTGCTTTCACGTCACATGGTCGACCCTTTATACAGGCCAACATGATGTTTGGCCAAGCTTCACCTGTTGCGCACCTAAAATATACGTCAATCGTTAGATCATTTGTTCTTTTTTCTTTTTTACTTTTTTTGTGAACGTTCTGCTTAACAGGTTGAGTGCCACGCCAATTTTATCAGGATTGTTCGTGGCACAACAATGTGGAATATATTTCTATTAATCTGGGCACGGCGGTCACCGGTGACCACCGTGGCACTCAACCTGTTAAAATATTTATATTTTTATTTTTTAATTATATTCGCAATAATAGAACGTTTCTTTATTTGATTTGATTTGATTTGATTTTCATTTATTTAATTTAATTTTATTTTTCTAATTACATGCAAATCGATTTGAATACCTCGAAGATACGAGAAAGCAAAATTATATTTTTTTAAGATAAAAATAATGAGTAAGTACATAGATTTTTTAATCTTCTCGTATCTTCGATGAAAAATTTGTATATACATGTACAATAATATAAGAGATTTAAGAGATTTGAGAATTATCTCAATAGATCAAAAGGTTTTTAAGCTTTTATTACTTGGTTTAAATCTTGGCAAGGATTTCTACATTAAAGATATCACGACGATATTTTTCTATTGAAAAAAAGTTGTACAAATAAACAATTTTAATCAAATACTAATTTTATATCGTCGTAATTTCTAATATAACATACTATATAATAATAGCATGCATTTTTATCATGGAAAGGGACAAACGCAACACCAAAAGCGATAAAAGGTTTGTAAATTACTGTATATCTAATCAAACTCGGATGTTTCTAATAGAATTATCCGATATGTGCGGACTCTTCGACTTTGAATTATTATGTTTGTTTATCTAAGAAATAATAACTTTTTGTATAATAATAATAATAATAATAATAATAATGAACAAAAAATAAAAGAAATAGAAAAAGTATGCGTGTGTATTTTATTGGTATTGAATCGAGGCCATATATATATATAATATATAAATATAAGAGGTGCATGTTGTGCAGAAGTATTTAACAATAATATTATAATATTATCGTAGTATATAAAAAAAAAAAAATAAAAAAATAAAAAAATAAAAAACGATAAAGATTAGGTGGATGTGGATGATACTTACCGAAAAAGCAGCATCAGACCTTGTATGAAGCTTTGGAAATTGTTGTGCTTGTTAATAGAACTGTCAGCACCCAGCTCGATGTTACCGAATACCTGAGACCCACAGAAATAAGTGAGCCAGCCGCAGCCAAATGGCGGATGGGCAGCATTTATCATGGATGTTCAATCTTTTTATTTTTTTCATTTAAACGAAAAATTTTGTCTCTCATCTTTTGTCTTTTTATTGTGGTGAATAAAATAACCACGATAAAAAGTTAATGATTAATTAATTAAAAGGTCGAATTGAATTTGATTGGTGGTTTTTTTTGTTTGTTTTTTTTTTTTTTTTAAATCAAAATGATGTAATAATAATTAGAGAACTTGATACACGTCTTCCGGGTAGTCTTTTCTCTCGCTGGATGACCGAAAACGTCTGTGACTGGTATATATGATCCTTAAGTAAAAAAAACTACGTAGAGATGAGATAATAGGAACTAATCTAAAAATGCTCGAACGATATCAAACGTAAATAGACAAAGTGAAATCGTTTCAAAACCCGACGAGTATCCTTTTGTATTCATTTATATTAAATATAATTAATATATATATATATATATACAAGGTGTCTCTTGCAACTGATGATACAAACGAGTATGATTCTATATGAAAAACTAAATCGTAGTAAATTCGTATTTGACACATTTTTAAATTTATTTTTCTCAAAAAAAAAAAAAAAAATGAAAAGGATCATTTAGATAAATTGAATTCTATGTTTTCAATTCAATCGTAAAACGTTCGTATTTGATACATTTTTAAATAGAATTAAAATAATCTTAATATATATAAATTACGTGTCACGTTGTTTGTCCGCAATGGACTTCTAAACTACTGAACCGATTTTAATCAAATTTTGCACACTGTATGCAGTTTTATCCAACTTGAAAGATGGGATAGTTTATATCTCAATTTATAATCGCAATATTATTTTATTGCGAATTATTTGTTTATTAATTAATTAGAGTCATGATTATCTCTGTTAGTTCGGTAAGATTTTAACAGATGGCGGTATAAGGTAATTCGTTGACTTACAAACGCGTGTATCGGACTAATTGTGAGCCACAGCAAAGTGTGGCGGGGCACTCCTAGTTATATGATAAATTAAAGTCTACGTTTTCAATTCAATCGTAAAACACTCGTCTTTGACAAATTTTTAAATATTAAGGATCATATAAATAAATTGAATTCTACTTTTTCAATTTAGTTTTTCATTTAAAATGATTCTTTACTCGTTTGTATCATTAATTAAAGGGATACCGTGTATATAAAAAAGTTCTTATATGCATACATAAATAAATGTATGAATTTTATAAGTGATATTAAACAAAATATCAGTGTAATTGTTTGCGTATGTGTGTATAAATGTAAATTACGACAAAGAGCCCTTCTAAGTATACTCATCTACCACATTTAAATCAGGATCTATGATATACTTTAGATTTGTGTTTTTGCCATTTGATTATTATGTATGTATATGTTTTTTTTTATATACATACTATGATATACTCGAAAGAATCGTATTATAGGAATTAAATATAATTATTATTTTAATATTAATTTTCTTTGGAAGAAAATGTTCGACATTCTAATTCGATACCAAATTGGTCAACCTGGTTCAAGTTTGCTTAAAGGAAACTAGGGGTACAGTCAGAATAGGTAATCAAATGTTGTAAACTTTTGGTATGAATGGTGGGTTAAAACAGAGGGACGTATGGTCACCTCTTTTGTTCAATTTAGTACTGGAATTTACTGTCTAGGAAGAACCAAATTGTAAAGATGGTCTGCAGTTGAAAGGGACAACGGAATTGTTGACATACCCGGACGATATTGCTTTGTTAGAGGACAATAGAGAGTCATTAACACTTTGATTGCCATGTTTGTCATATATAACCGGTCATGGTTTCTCCTAAAACACCATGGTGCTCATTGGTCACCAGAGATAGATTTCCGCGTAAGATAAACGCTTCATTTGATAAAAATGTTGTCCTGTAACATCAATTTATTATTATTTTGCCATTATATTCTTTGAGCAATAAAAATAATACCGTAGGGTCCTGGGCAAAACATATGATTTCGGTATGGCAGTCAAAAGGTTTATTAATAAGACGGAAATACACTAATAAATAATACGAAAGAACTGGGGCTACAAATAAGGGTGGATAAAACCAGATATATGGTCACCAATAGAATTTAGAATGTGCGTAATATTGGAGATATGGTCGTTTGGGATAAAATTCTTGAATACGTCAGCAACTTTAGGTATTTAGGATCGATCATAAGCCAAGAACATAAGAAATGAATCAACTTAGGCAATATCAATAAATTACTCAGCTCGCAGTTGCTGTCTAAACGCTTAAGAATCAGAATATACAATCATCCTACCGGTAGTCCTTTATAGTACCGAAACGTGGTCACTTACAATGAAATTGAGGCTTTTCGAAAATAAAGTTGTTTAGTGCAAAACGCAATGAGGAAACGAGCAAATGGAGAAAACCCCATAACGTAACTGTACAACAAAACCGGACATCATTAACGTCGTAAAATCACGCCGATTAAGATGGGCAGGTCACGTGGCACGCATGGGAGTGGATTGAACGGCGCATAAAATACTGATCGGTATATTGAACGGGAAAAGACCACTGGGTAATCCGAGATGTAGATAGGAGAACAATATTATTTCGGGATCTTAAAGAAATGGGCTACGAAAACCGCGAATGGTGGGGTCCGCGCTCAGGGACAAGAACACTGGCCGGGATTTGGTATTTGTGGCAATGAACTTTCGAGTTACTAATGTCAATTAACCCCTTGCACTATTTTCACGAGTCTGACTCGTGATGAAAATTTTAGGTCAGACTTGAATATCACGAGTCAGGCTCATTATTAAATTTCACATGTCAATCTAATGCCAATTAATAATAATAATAATTATCGATTCTTTCGAGTTTGTTGTGGATTTTTTTTTTTTTTGGTTAAAAATGTTATATCGTTGACGCCAAAGCTATAACGCAAGCATTACTATGGGACCAACTTTCTATGGGACAGCTAATTGCGGGGTTACAACAATTTGACACGTCGAGCAGCTTACTCTCGTGAAACCTCATGCTAGCAGCCCAATACTCTCTCTCTCTCTCTTTCTCTCTTTCTTTCTTTCTCTCTCTCTCTCTTTCTCTCTTTCTCTCTCTCTCTCTCTATCGTAAATCTTTTTTTTTTAAATTTTGATTTTTTACTTTTATTTTAATTAATTCTTACGACGACCAAAATTTACCCTCTTTTCTCTTTCCTTCTCGTATTATTTATTTAAAAAATCAAACCCCTCTTTTTCCCTATTTCCGTTCTCGCGATACATTTCGCGATGCTTTTCGAACATTAGTAGATTTTTTCAAGAAGAAATTCTACTTGATGTATGGTAAAATAAAAAAGAACTTTTGCAATTGGTTCGTTAAACATCGCGAAAAATCGGGACGGTGATTTTGTTTTTTTTTTTAAATTTTATTTTGTCGAACGTGCGATCGCAAACAATTGTTTGATTTCGTCGACGAAGTGAATTTGATGTTAAAAATATTTGGTATAATTATTCTCGATCGACGAAAGGAAACAATGAAATATATCGAATCATTCGATATGATTGGTCGTATCGTCAAAATCTCTCAAGAAGGAATATTCCCATATCCTTGAACCTGCAGTGTATTTAGCTGCTCGACTCACCGAAAAAGCAACATAAGACCGGCGAAGAAGGACTGAAAGTTGTTGTGATCATCGATCGATGTTCCTGGATCGTTCGATATATTTCCAAAGACCTGACAACGGAATTTCTCAATCACTAATTATCACCAAACTATTTCATGTCATTTATCTCAATCCCTTTTCCTTTTTCTTTTTTTTTTCTATTTCTTTTTATAAACACTTCTTTAATATAATGAAAATCAATGGAAAAGAAGAAAAAGATACGAAGATTTGTTTATCCTACCGTATCAATCGAGAGTTGGTCTTTTTTTTTTAATCCCCTCTCTATCATATCAACCTAATTTATAAAGCGGTTCAAATATTATTTGTCGGTTTAATTATTATTAACTTTTAACCAATTGTAAAATAATAAAATTAATTTCTTCCAATTAATAGATTCAGTCCATTGTCATGATTACTCGACCTAATTTATACAGCGGTTTAAATATATATGTATATGTATACATATATATGTGCCTGTAACAAATTAATTTTAGGATTTATCTTAATAATACAAAAATTATTAATTATTATAAATCATTTGTAAAAAAAAAAAAAAAATAGGAAAACAATAAATCATAAAATCAATTTGTTTCAATTATTTGAATAAGCCCACTGTTAGAATTATTGGCACATATATAATATTATATTAGTAAGTTGTATATATAGATATATGTATAAAATGTATATCCTATATAAGATTGGTCCCAGTAACTTGCAAAAACGCGCGAGAAGAAAGAGAAAAGAGAGAGGATACGATCTTTCGTACCTGCATACCGATGATGGCGTAGATGAAAAAGAGCATCGCGATGAGGAGACAAACGTAAGGCAAGGCCTGTAAAAATAAACAAAATATTATCAATAAATTAAATGACATATCAAATTGTTCTTCATAATTAATCTGTAAAAATGTTTTTAAATTAAATTAACACTATGCCGTCCGCATAATCTAGATTTTTTCGTATAATTTCCAAATGGCACCAACGTGAAGCCACCGGCACTTGCGCGATAGTTTTCGCATGGCACCAACGTGGAGCCACCGTCACTTACCCGATACTTTTTGCATGACATCAACGTGATGCCACCAGCATTTGCCCAAAAGTTTTCACATGGCATCAACATAGAGCCACCAGCACTTACCCGACAATTTTTGCATGGCACCAAGATGGAGTCACCGACACTTACCCAATAATTTTTGCATGGTACCAGCGTGATGCCACCAGCAATTACCCAAAAGTTTCCGCATGGTATCAACGTAGAGCCACCGGCATTTACTCAAAAATTTTTGCATGGCACCAACGTGGAGCCACCGGACGTCATAGTGTTAATATAATATATAATAATAATTAGTAATAAAAATATGAAGCAAACGTACTTTGAAGGATTGCACGAAGGTCCAGAGTAAAATTCGTATCGTGTATCCTTGTCGTAGCAGTTTGATCAGTCTGGCGGCACGAAATAGCCTGAGGAAGCCGACGTTGATGAAATTCTCCTGCAGGGGACACAGAAAATTGCACTTAACCCAAAAGATTGTCCATCTTTAAGTGTTCTCAAGGATAAAATTAGCTTCGTGCGTACAACATCGGTCAAAAACTAAATTGAAATTGATCGTTATCCTTAACATTTATCATTGTGAAGGATATCACGATCGATCCTTTGCCTAACCGATTGCACGAACGAAGCTATCAAAACAATTTTGTTTTTCTTCTTCCAATTTTATATACTTTTTTTTTCATAATTATTTTCTTTTTCCTAAAATTCAGCTTTACTTATCTTCTTTACTTTGAATAATTCATTTTATAAACACAACCAAGTAAATCTTCGAGGATGAGCATTGAAAATACCTGTACTAGTTTGGTAGATCATTTATTTTCCTGTAATCACTATTAAAAAACCCCTTTGCCGCGACTAAAAAGATGAGATTATGCAATGTTTAAATATTTGTTTTGTTTTTTTTATTTTCTTTCAAATTATCTTAGCTGCATTGATAGCCTTTATTATATTTCATAATGGCTATCGTTTGATAATGATAATGATGATGACAATGATCATTAGTTTAAAGTATTTAACCAGTTAACTTTGATTGACGAATATACTCGTCATGGAGAAGTGTATTGACGAATATATTCGTCATGCGTATAAAGTACTGACCATTGGCCATTTAAATTGTATTATTTTTGAGACAAACAAAGCATATTATCAAATTTCAAGATGTTTCAAACGTAACTTACTCTGTAATTGACGAGTATACTCGTCATGGCAGGATTCTGGCGACACAAAAGAGTGAGCCACAGTTAACTGGTTAAATAGGTATGCATGAATGTATAATAATATGTATGTAAGTATGTATGCATATATGTACATATGTAGAACGATAGTAATACGATGTAAAAATGTAGATACAAAAGAAAAATTGTGTAATATATGTTCAACTTGTTTCTGTGTGCTTTTTTTTTTTTTTCTTTTCTCTTCCACTTTTTTTTATTCTTGCTTATAATATATAAGCAATAAGGTGAAGATAAATATACATTAATAATAATAATAATAGTAATAATAATAAGAAGAAGAAGAAGAAGAAGAATAAAAATAATATTAATAATAGAAAGAAGAATCAATCCAACAATCAATATTAGATTGAATGATGGAAAAAAATATACGAAGTAATTGATACCTTCTTTTCAGTTAGCTGGCCACCACTTGGCACACTCGAAAACCGCTCCTATTACAGAAATATTGAACGTTGCAATAATTATCTGTTATATCGTTCTAACCCCCATACAATTATTCAAAACGTACATACACCATTGATCGCTTTTACTTTCTGGCCTTTACAATACAAAAGCTTTTAGCATATTTTTCACTTTTTTTCTTTCTTTCGCTTTTTCATTTTATTTGTTGGTAAAAATTAAAGAAAAATTACGCAGTAGACTGGCGGCGATATTAATACTCGAGCAACCCTACTTACTACTTTTAGATTTATCAGATTTAAAAACCTGTTGGATTCGAAAAAAAGGTATTATTATATATATTATTTTTCATGAATTAATTCGTTAATTTAATTCAAGCGTATCTACCTTGATATTAATGTGTAATAATAAATGCGTTTAATAATTGTGTATATGTATAGTTGTAAATGTTCGTTATTGTTATTGTAAACGTACTGATGAGCGATGAGATCATTTTATGTATTAGTTTGTTCGGTAAGTAATATTGTTTTTATTTTTCTCTGGATTCTAAATATGAATAAAGTTATATATAGGGGTAGTTCACTTAATACTGGACACTCATATATCTCAAAAAATAATAATGTGAATAATTCAAAAACAGGTGACAGGGGTGCAGAATCATACGATCCAGTTTATCAGTGAAGCTCAAGGCAACATCAGGAGATTCAGATAAGTGTTATAGCTACATTTCTGTATTTAAGTCTTTATGGTATTTGTTCATTTATAAATTTCGTTGTATATGAATTTTTTTCTTCATTTCCAAACGGATTAGGTGTAGATCACGTAATGTTGATATTATCCTCTCCCCTAGTACCGGACAAAAATAGTCCCTTAACGCCGGACAGTGAAAACGAAGTACGAGCAACAAACCAAAGACGTGAAAGCCAAAAGAAGAAGTGAAGTAAAGGGAAAACAAGCCAAAGGAGTAAAAGCTCAAGGAAAAAGTGGAGATAGAGATAAGAAAAAACAGCTACTGACTGAGATACAGGTATCCCTCCAACACCACGGTTTCTCCTAACACGATTTCGCTATAACACGATTCATAATTGCGGAAATCTTCGTATAAAACGGTTTTCTTTCAAAAAACCTTTTTACAACACTGTATTTCTGCAGCAGCGGCGAGGCTTGCCGTCTTAAAGATACAGTGTTACGGAAAGTATTTCTTTTCATCTCCAAGGCCTGAAAACAAAAATGTCTCACGCTGTTGTGAACTGAAAACATCAATGTTAAATGTGTGTTGAAAGAAGATAATGGCTCTCTTCAGTTAAAATAGAAAACGTGCGTGAATCGTCACAAAATGAAATTGGTGGCATATTAAAACTTGCTAAATCAATCGGAGGCGAAGGTTTTGTGGATATGGCTATTGTAGACGTTCAAGGTTTATTAGTGGAAGAAGAAGTTGACGAAGCGGATTTGATGGAAATGGTATCCGAAACTGTAAATCAAATTGATCCTGAGGATCTACACTAGATGAAGATTGTGCTGTTAATAAGTTAACATTAAAAATATTACAAGAAGGCCTAAACTTAGCTGAAAATCTCGAGTCAATTTTTTTTTTGAATGAAGATCCTTCCAAAGAAAGGAGCCGAAAATTCAAAAAGAAGCATCAAAACTGTCTAGCTCCATACCGAGAAATTTACAATGACCTGGTAAGAAACAACAAGCAAAGTAAAATTACAAATTTTGTAAAGAGGGAAAAAAATGCAAGAACTTTAAATGAAAAAAAAAAACGTTCTCGGTTGATTAAATTGAGCAGTGACGACGAAAAAATAAATTAAATTAAAGTTACGTAAAATTAGGATAATATTTTTTGTCTTGTATTGTTTATACATTTATATTTGTAATAAAAATTAAGTTGTTTATTTAAGAAGAAAAAAATATTTGTTTTTAAAAAGTTTTCGGTACGTAACCCCCCTTTTTGCATTGGCTCTGGGTCTCAAACAACACGGTTTCAATAACACGGCATTTTCTAGGAACGTATCTACCGTGTTGTTGGAAGGAGACCTGTATCTGAAATTAAGAGAACTACTTGCGTAGTGTGTTTAGCAGACTACGACGAAGACTGGATACAGTGCTCCAGCTGCCATGGGTGGGCTCATAAACCATGTGCAGACATTCTTGAATGTTCAGATGTCTACATATGTGATCAATGTCGGATGATTTAAAAATTTGCGGTGCTAGTGATTCGAAGTGAAATCTGTCCGGTACTAGGTGACCACTTTCAGCGATTGTATATTTTGACACCGAAGTTTAATTCTTATTTTTAAACATGTTTATACAAAAGTTGTATTTTTGTTAATTTATGTTGACTTCACTAATTTATTTTATGTGTCTGCCACTAGGTGACTTCCCTCTATATATTATTTGTCCTTGAAAAAAATACAATTACTTATCGAACAACCTAATACTTTTCTAGCGTAACAAATGCAGCGTATACGGCTGGGAAATACAAATAAATAAATAAGATACATCCAAACGGGATTAATCTTACTTAGAAAATAAGTTTAGTAATTAATTGCTAGCGTTAAATTTGAATTATATCGATAAGGAGCAGCAAAAGGGTTAAATGGAGAAAAACGCAATACTTACTCCCTTTTGTCACGAGACAAATGGGGAATTTGAAAAGTCATTTTAAAATGAAATTACTATTAATAACTTAACGATCGTGTTCTATAATTATATAAATATGTTAGCATTGATAGATTTACGTTAAACGTTGGAAAATCGATTAATCGATTAGACAAATTCGTGTCTCGGGACAAAAGGGCTCGTGATAGGCGAACACGAAGCAGTGGATTACGAAATCCACGTGCAATCGATCAAATTACAACGTATTCTTGGTTAAATATAAATTATATCGATACGTAATAGCAAAGGTAATTATGAAAGTGATCTAAAAGTTGATAAAATTAATTGGCCTAATTTTTTTCTAATTTTTATTTATCATTTTATTATTATAGAAACCTTATTAATTTATGTATAAGGTAACTATACATTTTTATTTTATAATATTAATTAAAAAAAATTTAATTTAAATATTTCATATTAATCTTTGTTTACCACACTTGGTTCAAAGGATCCAGACCTTTTTTGCAACTTGAGTCATTTTTCTCAATTGTTCAACTTTGATAATTTTTTAAATATATTTACATTTAATTTAAAGCTATAAAACCTATATAATCTTTTTAAGTAAGTATTAAAGAAGTCTCAAAAAAATGTTGAAGTAAATCTATGCAATAGTTTCTTTTTTATAACAATTTTTCTCATCCCGGGTCCAAAGGACCCGGGTGTGGTAAGCGTGTTACTCCACGATGGGTGGTGAGCAAAGGTTAAAATGTATTATATAAGCAAATATTTATTTAAAAAAAAATGAAACGTGTATTCTCGTATAATTTAGATCACTTTGTCATAATTATCAGCATATAAATTTAGATATTATACATTTGATATTTTAAAAATTCTCTGATACAGAATGAAAAATATATTTCGAAGCTTTACGTACCCCGAATTCGATGACAAGTGCGTCGACGATGCTGCCAATGACGGTAATAAAGTCGAACGTGTTCCAGGAATCCTTGAAGAAGTTCTAACGCCGAGAGGATATATAATCAAATAAAATATAAATATATATACATATTTAAATACAATATTATAAATAATATTCAAAATTGATCTCTAAAAACGTTGTGCTGATCACTTCGAAGTTTCTAAGATATTCGAACGAGATATTTTTCCCGTAATATTTTTCAAATAAAAGTTTCTAATTAAAAGAAAAAAATGAAAGTTCATTTACAAAGATCGAAGAACCTTCGAAGTGTTCACGTGAATGTTTTGTGTTTATGTACATATTCAAGGATTATCATCATCACTGTACGATTTACTACGTCTATTTTCGATTTCGAAGAAAAAAAAAAATGAGAGCTCCGATTACGATCATCGGCTTGATGGAACGCGAATATGTTTTTCTCTTCTACCATTTTTTTATTTTTTTTTTAATGTTTTTAATTCACTCGAGTGATAAATACGTTTGTGTTTGTGTATGTGTATACGTGTATGTGTGTAATCGTGTAACTTGTATGTGCGTGCAAGTATAGTTAAAGTATTATAAGTATAATAAGTAAGGTGAGGCTTCACACGAGCGTGTGTCCTACTAATTAAGCTAATTACTTATGTAATTCGGTTATGTATGTATATGTGTATATGTGTGATTAAGTGCTCTACCTAGCGACGTGTTAATGAGAACAAAAAAAGACTTTCCGCATCTCTTGGTCGCGATTAGATTTTTCTATAATATCAAAAGATATTTTTTATATTTTCTATTTGCTACGAAAAAATCTTTTTATCCTCCATGCATCTTTCAACATTTTTTTTTCTTTTTTTCTTTTTTTTTCTAACAAAATAAGACTAAAAGATGCGGTTTAATTATACATGTATTAATTATGATTACATGATATACCGTAATCTTACGCACTAATGATCGATGATCTCAGCTGAAGTACGTAGAATAATAATTATAATAATAATCATAAAATAATAATTATAATAATAATTATAATAATAATCATAAAATAATAATTATAATAACAATAAAAATAATAATAATAATAATTAATAATAATAATAATAATAATCACCATCATCATATAAATAAATAATAATATTAGGTATACAGTTTTGCTACCGCTGTTTTCCTATACATGGCATTAGCGACAAATACAAATCGAATGCATCCATTATGAACGGCTTAGAATGTTCTTTTGCATTTCGTGAACATAATCTGACAGTACCAGTAGTTGATTTGTGTTTACATCCCGATTAAAAATGTCAGTTTATAAGCTGAATCCTCGTCATTTGCGGGAGGTGTTCATTTATTTTTTTAAATATTAAAAAATTTGCGGCTGAGGCTCAGTGAACGCTCTCAGACACTTATGGTAAGGCTATTATGAGTGAAAGAACATGTCGTGAGTGGTTTCAACACTTCAAGAGCGGTGATTTCTGCGTAGAAAACCCGGCATAGTGGTGGAAGACTAAAAGTTTTTGAAGATGAGGAATTAGAACATTTGCTCAATGAAAACTCGTGTCAAAATCAAGAAGAGTTGGCAGGATCATTAGAAGTGAGCCAACAATCAGTTTCAAAACGCCTAAACAGTCTGGGAATTATCCACAATCAGTTTCAAAACGCCTAAACAGTCTGGGAATGATCCACAAGCAGTTTCAAAACGCCTAAACAGTCTGGGAATTATCCATAAGCAGTTTCAAAACGCCTAAACAGTCTGGGAATGATCCACAAG